AATTTTTTATATTTTATAATTTTTAAATTGACCCCGTTTCTTTTTCTTCTTTTCCCTTACCCACCCCTTGGTCTTCTTCTTCTTTCACCCCCTTTTAATGTTTTATTCTTTTTCTTCAAAGATCCCCTCACCCCACCCCTACCCCCTCAGCTCCCAGCCCCCATCCTGCCCCCCCTTCCTTTCCTCTTTTTTTCCCGCACCCCCTTCACTCTCTTCTTGAGCTCCTTTTTTTTCTCTTTCCTTTTACACATTTTTTTGTTTTTTGTTTTTTTCGATCTTATTTGATTATTTTTTGGTTAAAATTTTTGTTTTTTTATCTTTTTTTCTTGATACTTTTATATTATTTGTTTGTTTGTTTACGAGTTATTTGTGAACTTTATTTTGTAAGTTTTTTTATCTATTCTCTTAAGAAGTGTTTTATTTTATTATTTGTTTTACTTTTTTATTTTTTTGATATTGTTTTGTATTATTTTTTGTTTCTTTATTATTTTTTGTTTGTTATTTTTTATATTTTATTTTTTTCACAAAAAAAGAAGAAAAAAATTAATTAGCATTTGGATTCGTTCTTTTTTGTGGGTTGTTCTCTTTTTATGTTTCACTTATTCTTAGTTTGACTTATTTTATTTTATTAATTGATGAGTTTTATTTTATTGAACATTTTAGTTAAACAAAAAATAGCATACCATGTGTTTAATGTTTTTGTTTGTTTTATTTGAAAATAGACAAAAAGTTAACAAACAAAAAATATCAAATAAAACAAATAAAAAAGAAAAGGTATGGTACGATTTTTTTGTTCAACTAAAATGATCAATAAAAGAAAACAAATTAATTAATAAAATAAAATTAGTCAAACTAAAAGTAAGTGCAACATAAAAAAAGAACAACCCACAAAAAAATGAATCCAAAGGTCAATTAGTTTTTTTTACTTCATTTGATGAAAATAAGACAGTTCTTAGAAGAATAGATTTAAAGAACTTACAAAAAAAGGTTCACAAAAAAAAAATCTAAACAAACAAACAATTTAAAAATATCAAGAAAAAAGATAAAAAAGGCAAACAACAAAAAAACAAATAACATCGAAAGTAAAATAAATAATAAAATAAAACACTTCTTAAGAGAATAGATAAAAAAATTTACAAATAAAAGTTCACAAAAAACTCGTAAAGAAACAAACAAATAATATAAAAGTATCATGAAAAAATATTAAAAAAACAAAAAATTTAACAAAAAAACAAACAAATAAGATCGAAAAAAACAAAAAACAAAGAAACAAAAAAATGTGTAAAAGGAAAGAGAAAAAGAGGGAGATCAAGAAGAGAGTGCGGGGGATGCTGGAAAAAAAGAGGAAAGGAAGGGGGGGCAGGATTGGGGGGCTGGGAGGGGTAGGAGTGAGGTGAGGGGAGTTTTGAAAAAGAAGAATAAAAGGGGGTGAAAGAAAAAGAAAAAGGGTGAAAGAAGAAGAAGAAGACAAAGAAGGGGTGGGGGAGGGAAAAGAAGAAAACGAAATGGGGTCAATTTAAAAATTACTTATAAAATACAAAAAATTAAAATTTGGCCCAAATGACTTGCTGGTTACCTGAAAACTGGCTTCAAGTACCATTCGTGAAAGTTGAGGTATCATTTTTGAAATTTACACTATTCTCAACCATCTACATCGACTCTTTTCAAGTTTGCAAAAATCAAAAGTTTAGTGGGCTAGTTCAATTAATTTTACCTTTTCTTTCTTTAGTACTCAGTTGTTTTCGCCCCATCCCCTTTTTATAGTGAAATTTGCACTAAATAGGATTAAAACTTAATTTTTTTATTCCCTAAATAGGACTTAATAATATCTAGTTATTATGGACATTTACTTGAATAATGAGTAATTGAAAATGACCAAAAGTCCTACATTGGAAAATAAAAACATATAATCCTATATTGAGAAAGTCATTATGTTTTAGTCCTATTTAGGTAAATTTATCTTATTACTATTGTTATTATTATCATTATCATTATTATTATTTCTATTATTATTATTATTTAAATCATAAAGCCGGTGCTACACGAGAATTATTATTATTATTATTATTCTTAATTGTTATTATTTTAATTGTTATTTAATAATATTATTATTATTATCAATTTTTTTGTGAACCATAAGCTGGTACTATAGAGTAATCACTATTATTGTTATTATTTTTATTTATTATTATTATTATTATTATTATTATTATTATTATTATTATTATGGGGTATCTTTTTTGTGAATCATAAAGCTGGTGTTACAACAAAATTTTCTTCTCAATTGACTTTCTTGATCAAAATTCGTAAATTTTGACCTAGATTTGCAGAAAAAATTACTACGTTATGATATTTCTAAAGACAACAACAACAATAATAACAAAAAAGATAATGATGATAATAATAATGTAAAATAAGTAAAAAAAGAGAGAGGGGTGGGGGGCCGCATCAAATCAAAAGAAGGGATCAGAAGAATAGAAAGAAGAAGAAGAAGAAGAAGAAGAAGAAGATGATGATGATGATGAGAAAAAGGAAGATGAAGATGAAGAAGAAGAAGAAGAAGAAGAAGAAGAAGATGATGATGAGAAAAAGGAAGATGAAGATGAAGAAGATGACCGAGTAATCATAGAATAGAAAGAATGTAAAATAAGTAAAAAAAGAGAGAGGGGTGGGGGGCCGCATCAAATCAAAAGAAGGGATCAGAAGAATAGAAAGAAGAAGAAGAAGAAGAAGAAGAAGAAGAAGAAGAAGAAGAAGAAGAAGAAGAAGATGATGATGATGATGATGAGAAAAAGGAAGATGAAGAAGAAGAAGAAGAAGAAGAAGAAGAAGAAGATGATGATGATGAGAAAAAGGAAGATGAAGATGAAGAAGATGACCGAGTAATCATAGATTGACGGAATGTCATCCTGGAATAAGTTTTCGAAAATTTTAAGATAACTCGGAGTATATTTTCAAAAATGATGGGACCTAGGAGTTATTATCACAAAACTGAGGGTACCTATTAGCCCTTTTTGTGCACACGATCTAAGCCTATTTTCATAGGTATTTATGACTAGAGGTTCTCAAATCTGGATTTACTTGGAACTTTTGGGAGTTAGTACGGCCCAATATAAGGAGCTCGCCCTTCCAATCAAGTGATTTTCCGTTCACAACGTCATTTCCCTATGGATCTGTTGATTAAGGGGTCAAAAGTGTTGTGCCACCAATGCCACGTTTGAAAGGTATTTTTCAAATAAATCCAAGACCAAAAATAAGTAGACGAATTCCAAAACAATCCGCTTGGATTAGATCCTAGAGTCTAATACTTATATTAAGAGACTAAATCACCACTAAAGATCATAGAAAAAGAATTATATATCCAAAAAAACTCAAAAACACTTTTTAAATAAATTTGAAAAGGTTTTTTGTTTCTGTTTGAGAATAACCATAGTGGTCAATAGATGGATTTGATTTTAGACAAACAAGTGGAACACAAACATTAATTATACTAGGAAGCCTAACTTTCTACCCTTAATTTCCTAACAGTGCTATACAAAGAGGAAAACAAAAACCAAGTGTGAAAAGCTATCGTGTTGCTCAAAAAGTTTCAAAATTGAGCTCAAACACTATTTTTTAAAAAAACTAATGATTTCAAAACTGGTCCAACTTTTTACAAACAATTTCCAACAATCAGGGTCAAAAATTTGTTTAAAACTTGGCTTAAAATTCTTTTTGTATAGTGTGGGTGTAGTAAAAAATCAATGTTTTTGGAAAGGGGTTTGTGTCAAGGGGGTGTAAAAAATAAAACATAAACGCTCCATCAACACTTAGAATTTGCAGTGCCCTCACTGCAAACTCTCACGCAGCACTTACACTAACTAGCTAGGCCAGGGCAAGCCACCATAAATCTCACAGCCTTGGTTGGGATGGGACAGAACCAAAAACCACAATCCTACATAGAGGGATAAAGCACAAATCGATGAGTGGAAATCAGGGCAAAGAATACGTCAAGGTGCCTATTAAGTGACCTACGCAGTTCATGTTCATGAATTTTAGGGAAAGGGTTTAAATAAAGTTCAAAAGAAAGTCTCTTTGCTGTTTGTTGAAAATTTTAAAGTAGGAGTTAATACTGTGAACTGAACTTGTGTTATCATTAAACAATGAGGGGAGTTTTATATATGTACAATTGGGCCTGTTTGTAATGCAACTACCAATACAAAAATATACGGGCTAACTACAAATACATAAATAAATGGACTAACACTCACCCTCAAGTTGGAACATGAATATCAAAAATGTTGAAACACGGGTTTATCGCTTTTTCATACTAAAGCCGTGTTCGTTTTTATGACAGGTTTTGATAATGCCAAACTGCCGTGAACGAGACAAGTTGTTGAATATAAAAGGCGAGAAATAAATATAAGAAGAAAGCAAGAGAACAAGAGCTAAAAGAGACCAAGAACGAAGACCGTAGTCTTTAGCGTCGTTGAGTCGGTCACAATGTGATCAAGACCGACCCAAGCTTTGCACTTTGGCTCTTTAGGCTAAAACATTATTATAACTAAACTTGAATGATTTGATTACACATAGATATGCTATTTATAATAGCTACAAGACTATGACCTAATTACGAGCCCAACAAGAATGAGTCCATTAACGACAAACCCTATTACATTCCTTAACACTCCCCCTCAAGTTGAGCATGAGATTAAGGAATGCACAACTTGGACAATTAAAACAAAACTAAGACTAAAAAAATGATAAACAACTCGAACTTGATCTGCTGTTGTTAGAATAAGTGCCCTTCACTAGAGGGGGGGTGAATAGTGAGGCACGAGAATGTTTATAAATTTTCGCGGAATAAAAATCGCAGGGATAAAGTAAAGAGCGGAATAAAAAGGAGTAAAGGGAGCACACCGAATTTTACCCTGGTTCACCACAACTTGTGGCTAATCCAGCCTCCCGAGAGACTCTCTCGAGCTACACTACTTCCGTTAAGCTTACGGGTGCTTAACAAACCGTTACAACTTGAGAACTCGAGTCCCACGAGCCTCAATACACTTGCTCGGAGATACCGCACTCCAAGACTTCAACCCGAAGGAAAATACCTTTCCTTCGTACAACCAAGGGAAACAAGCTTCCCTAAACGTGTTTACAACACTAAGAACACTCAAGAACAAGACTCTCTTTAAGAGTGGATGTTGAGTAAACTATATACACTCAAGAACAACTCAAACTTCACAAATTGGCTCTAGAAAGCTATGAAAAATAATGTTGTTTGGATGCANGATGGAGATGTCGGCGGAGATGATGAGGTCCATGACGAGGAAGGCGTATGGCAAGCTCCGCTCAGTGGCGATGGAGGCGCAATCCGCCATGTGGATCATCACGAATTTCGCCCAATTGATGGAGGCGCCGTGGATGATGGCATGAATCGCCTTCAAGTCCTCGTTGAAGAGCGAGGTATGGCTGCTGTCCCGGGGGCGGAGAATCCGGGTGATGATGTAGAGGAGGAGGCGCTTGTCCGGTGGGGCCGAGTGAATCGTCGGTGCGCCGCTGTGGCGGATCAAGTTGGTGATCCCAAGCTCACGAATGACGACCGCCTCGTTGTTGAGGATCCAATCGTCGCCACCATAGGTTGCGATGTCGTCACCGCGGATGGGCAGCCCTGCGACCCGAGCAAAGGTAGGCAAATCAATCTCTATGTCGTAGAGATTGATGCTGCTACGAATGGTGTCCCCGTCACGGCGGAGATTGGAGTAGAAGGCTCGTACAAAGGCGGGATTGAAGCTCGAGCGGCTCCTGGAGACGAACGACCACAGACCCGATGCTTGAAGCTGATTGTCGAGGTCGTGGTACCCCTTTTGTTGAGGGTACAACTCGGGCAGCACCCTAGGCGGAGAAATGGGACGCTTGGCAAAGTGCGTGAGGAACCGGTTGAGTTCCTCCTCCGACCCGAACTCAAGAAACGATCCGTCCAAATATGGGAACGGAGGAGGCGCGGAGCTTGAGGGTTCGGCGGTGCTTTCCTTCTTGGAAGCCTTTGACTTTGATCTTCCTCCGGCCATGATTGAGGCGTTTTTGAAGAAAGATTGAAGAAATAAGTGGTATACGCTAAAGAAATGAAATGATGATGTTAATTGTGTGTTAAGAAGGTAATGGATGATGTGAATATATAGGGAGAGGAGGAAAAAACGTGTGAATTCAAAAAAATATGGCTGTTGGGCATTAAATTCGGTGCCCAACGGCCATAATTTTTGAATTTCAACAGCCTTCCCAGCGATGGTAGGAACTACCCATCGATGGGAGGGTCGCTACTGGAAAGCGAAGGAGAAAATCAGATTGCCTTCCCAGCGATGTGTGGACTCTCCCATCGATGGGAAGGTGGGTTCTGGAAAGTGAAGGATAAAGGACGAAAGCCTTCCCAGCGATGTTAATACCATCCCATCGCTGGGTTGGTGATTTTGGGAATCCGATTAAAAAGAAATTTTTAAAAAAATGTGTCAAACACCCAGCGATGGGAAGAAGTTCCCATCGATGGGAAGAGGGCTGCTGGTTAGAAAATACTTCCTTCCCAGCGATGGGATAAACCACCCATCGCTGGTTCCCCCTGAGTTCCTCACTTTGATACGTACCTGCAAAAAAAACAACACTTTGGTACCCAAAGTAGTCTATGGGTCCTTGGGGGTTAGTTAACCTTTATTGCCCACACACACACCCAAAATTCGTTTCCTAACGCGCGCACACACACACACGATTAGATGATCGTCTAGGAATTACCTTGGCCAACCCGTCGTCTTGTGGTTGGCGGGTCCAGTCTACCTGAACGGAGTGCCGATATCTCGGTGTGATTTGTGTTGGTTCCGGTAACGGAATGTGGACTTTCTTCTTTTCATCAAAGTAGAAGAAATAGTAAGGTTTCTTTTGTGCATTCTCCTGTGGAGATTGTTTATTATATGAATATCCTTTTCCAAAGGATTTCTTTTCGATAGCATCAAATATGTTGTGTGTTTCATTATAGGTGAAGTGCCTATGTCTGGTAAAACACACAGGAGCTATATGTCCTACCATGTTGCAATAATGGCATACTACGTTTGGGTTGAACATACGCCTAGGTTGATAATAGCTAGGGGGCCTAACCATGTTTGTCCTATTTTGAGAAAAGGATGGTTTATGCATGTTTTCAAAAGGATCATTTCTAGGTGTTCTCATATTGTCTCTTCTATTTTGAGAAAAAATATTTTTATGCACAAAAACATTTTGATAATTTTTCTTAGGTTGTCTACCATGAACGTTTTCATTCCTAGGTTTTTGTCTAGGTTGTCTAGTGTTCTTAGATTGACTAGGTTTTCTATTTACTTGATTTTTAGCTTTCTTATGTTGAGCCTTAGGAGGTTGTCTAGGTGTTTGCTCAACGTT